GACTCAGGCTTTTCCCTGTTCTAGCAAAGTGCTACCTCATTAGTGATGAAATAATGTCACCATAATTACCTGGTAAAGCCACACGGCAGGTTATGAATGCCCTCGGACACAAGCACAAGAGATTTATCTTGCCTGAGGCACCTGGACACAATAAGTTGCTAAAGTCTACCCCAGCAATTATCGTCACGTGTCTTGGGTGTTGGGCTCAGCACAGCCCTGGCACGCACACTCCAACCACAGTCCTGGGCCCACAACTTCCAGCAGGAGTCAGGAACACTCTCCCCAGGACTAGGGGACTAGAAATGCAAAGCCATCTCCTGGAGAACTGAGGTAGTGGCAGCCAGAAGCAGACGCTGAAGGTTCCAGAGGAAGTGGGAGAAAGCGATGATTGCAGGCCCTGTACACTACTGAATCAGGCTCCACCGTGAAGTCCCTGAGAGCCTAACTGGGCATGAACTCCAGGCACCTTTCTGCCTTGTCTAGAATCAATTTTGCTGGTGACTCTGAAGTTTTCTTCACTTGCATAGTCTTCCCTGCTGCAGACCAAATCATTGGGATCACCTAAAAAGACAGCCCAAAAAATGGGCAAGTCCACCAATATTTAAAATGTGCCTGCAGATCCCAATTCTAGGGCTCCTACTAGAGAAATTTGAGCACAAGTCTGCATTGTCTGTATCTAAACAGTAAGAACTAACAAAATATATTCTAGAACTGCAGTACTATGAGATACTATGTAACCACCTAAAAAGAAAGAGGGAGATCTTTCCAAGGAGCTTGACAGAAAATAGCATTTACTGAAGTTTTCCCATTCATTTGAAATTTAAGAACAAGCAAAACTAACCTTGGTGAAAATGGCCAGGGTGGGGCTATTGACCGGGAAGGGACATTAGGTAACTTTCTGGGATTCTGAAATTGCTCCATCTAGGTAGTAGTTGTATGGGTAGATATTTGTGTAAACATTCATCAAGTTACACACTGAGAATTAGCGTCTTTTATGCACTAGAGGTATGTTACACATCAACATAAAAAGTAAGAGGAGGGTACTCTAGAAGAACGGACTTGGAAAAATGGTAAAGAAAAACAGCTTCATGCCTGTAATCCTAGCACTTTGGGAGGCCAAGGCAGGAGGATCACTTGAGGTCAAGAGTTCAAGACCAGCCTGAGCAAAAGTGAGACCCCCATTTCTACGCCCCCCAAAAATATATATATATATATAGAGAGAGAGAGAGTAATTAGCTAGGTGCAGTGGTGGGTGCCTGTAGCCCAGCTACTCAGGAGGCTGAGGCAGGAGTATCTCTTGAGCCCAGGAGTGTGAAGTTGCAGTGAACTATGATGCCTCTCTGCACTCCAGTCAGGTTGACAGAATAAGACCTTGCCTAAAAAAAAAGAAAGAAGAAGAGAAAGAGAGAGAAGAGAGAGGGAGAGGAGGAGAAGTGGGGGGAGGAAATGGAAGGAGGGAGAGGAGGGGAGAGGAGGAGGGAGGGGAGGAGGAGGAGGAGAGAAAAACAGAAAACACGATAGCAGCTCTACAGTGTGTACGCCTGGAGAAGGCAGTCTGGAAGGATAGCAACCCTTACTGACGCGTCCTCTGAGGGGGAGGACCGCCCTTCCGTGCTGTCTGCAGCTGTGGTGTTTGACTCTGCTGCCCCGACACCTCCCACCATCCCACCACACACCACTTTTGCTTCTCTGTGAGTCCCTGCATTTGGAGAGCGAGGTTCTTGGCTACCTAGGTCAAACTTTGGTGGTTCCATGTCTCAGTTCCAGACTTGAGCTTTGCAACAGGATCCTTGGACAAAACCTGGCTCCGAATCTGCTAGGCTCACTGCTCACACATACCAGTGTCCCACTCAGCAGCTGCCTCCGGGACAGCAAGGTCAGGTGCCTCCTCTCCGTGAACAGACTCCTGTGTGGAAGGCACCGTTCACGTCTGCGAGTATGAGCAGAACACTCTCAAACACACAAGTGGAAGAGGCAGAATGACTCAGGGGTCCCCAGCCACACCATTTTAATGTCTCCCCCAGTCTCCTCTCTCTGGGTGGTAAGTGGTTAGATCAACTAATTGGTCTTCACAGCCCTGGTTACAAATGGTTCCGGAGGCAAATTCTGGTCACACTTCGAGACAGGCAAATGAACCCTCGCTCTGTCCCCTCTTTAATATGGATGTGACACCTGCAGGCTACAGCTTGTCGCACTGTGAGAATTATTTCTCCATTAAAATGCAGGAGTTGGCACTTTGCCCAGGAAGGGCGGCTAAAAATACTGCTGTCCAGGGCACTCATCACCAGAGGACTCTCTCTACCCCTCAGCCTCCAGGTGAGTCCTGTACCTGCCAGGTTCCTCGCACAAGCACTCGATGCAGTGTCGTGTTGGGGCCGTACCCCCACCCCATCACAAAGGAAAAGCACCAGTGACTATGCCTGTTTAACAGAATGGCAAACTGAGGTCCAAACAGTTTGCTCTGGGTCACTGTGTTCAGTCTTCAGTCCGGGGAGCAATAATGCATGCAACACTGCACAGAGGGAAAAAAACCCTCACACGTGCCCAGCATTTTATAATCTGCAGTGTCTTCTTACAACTGCTTCGTCCAACCCTCACAGCAACACTGAAATAAGAGCTATTACTGCCTCCGCCTTACAGGTGGGGATGGAAGCTCAGAAAGGGAAAACAACACAGGGACGGGCACACGGAGGCCACCAGGAGCAAAGGCAGGTCTTCAGCACGAGTCTCTTGATTCAACAACCCAAGCAGAGCACCAGCGATGAGACTTCAAGCCAGGTGACCAATCTCACTCCTAGAGCCATCAACTTGATAACAAATCCTTCAGTTTGGAAAGAATGCCTCACACTTTTCAGAAGAGGACTCATTACCCCTACTTAAAAGATAAGGAATTAAGGTTCAGAGGTATAAAGGATGTCGTCACAAGTAAGTAGCAGTAGAGCCAGGTTGGAAAGTCAAATGTCCTGACTCTAGCCCAGGCTCCTCCTGCCTCCCAGGACCAATGGAGCTCTGGGATCAACCAAGGGGACCAGCGGCAAGACAATGTCATTCAGGGGCAAATGAACACCATATGCTCTGCAGGCTCCCACCTCCCTGAACCTGGTTCTCTGGAAAATTCTTAGCCTCCCTTTGGTCTTTTTAAGTGAAAGGTGGTTAAAACCTTAGGCTCATTTTTCACAGAAGGAAGTGCCAAGGCCCAGGGAAGGCAAATGCTCGGGGGTCAAAGGGCAAACTAGGCCCTGGGTCTGGCCCCCTAGCTCCTGGCCTGGGACGCATCACACGGGGTCAGCCAAGAATGGCATGCATAACTTGTTCCCTGGTATCAGCCTCTTACTGGGTCTCAACTTCCCATTCTGTAAAATGGGGACATTAGCAGAGTCCCTAAGCAAGCCTAGGGTTTGAGTATTCTGAGGTAAAGAAATTGGCTGATGCTTCCAGGAGTGGGAGGAGACTCATACAATCACCAAAAAATCTGGACAACCAACTTCACTTTACCAAGAGGAAAACTGAGGCTAGAAAGGGACCATAGGGACCACGGAGACCCAGTGATTTAAGGATGGTGGTAAGATCAAAGATTGAAATGTCCAAAAGAGTATCCTTGTGCTGAGTCCTGTGGTCCACCCTGCTCCCAAGCACTTCACAGGGAAAAAAGCTTTTTACAAAGACATTTATTTTTCCCAAAGTACACCCCCAGTTTATAAAATTCCTCAGAATCCCACTTTTAAATTAGAAATCCTCACATCTTCCATTACTGGACATCAGAAGTTGTACTCTGCTTGGGACTAGGGCTAGCCAGAGGCCACAGGAGGTGTCTGCCCCGGCCTCAGAATAGCACCATGGTGAGAGTGGGGGGAAGGGTCCCCTCCGTGGTCTGGAGCCCTCCTGGCCCTGCTCCACTCCAAGCTCCAGCCAGGGAGGAGAGGCCCCAGGTTCTGCCCATATTGCTGTTGTCCAAGGTATGGAGGCCTCGGCCACCTGCTTTCACCTGGAAATCATGATTCCCTAGTGTGGCAAGGAACTATGTTCCTCTCTCCAGGTTTCTGCCCCCACCCCATGGTCTGGATAAGAATAGGGGTGTGATGGGGGTGAGGTATCCAGAAAGCTATGGGCACAGCAGGGAGCAAGGCAGAAGCTGCCCCATGCAGTAGGCACAGAGCTATCTGCCTCCCAGGTGGGTGGGGACACCCTGGATGGAGGGACTTGTCTCCCCACAAGGAGCCCTCAATACCTAACACCATGCTGACACCCTGTGGTTGCTCAATAAACAATAATTGAATGGATAAACGAAAAGAAAGAAATTCTCCGAAGGTGGGAAAAGCAGAGAGATAGAAGCTAATGCCCAGGGGCCCATGGAAGACCCCTGGAGAACCAGTGTGACCAGCACATGCTTCCTGTGGGGACAGCAGGCAGAGAAGAGGGCGTCACAGGGCACAGCCCAGGGCACGGCACAGGAGATCGGGTGAGGGAAACCAAATGCATCCATGTTCCAGCACGAGCAGCTGCATGTCTCTGCACACCTGTGTGTGCGTGGCAGGGGACAGTCTTCACTTGGTGGGGAGGGAAAAGGCCAACATTGGGGCCAGGGTGGGAAGAGGCAGGAGACAGTCTCTAGACTCCAAGAGATGCCAAGGCTTAGTGTCCCTGCCTGGGTAGACAGGATTCTATGCAAGTGTAGGGGAAAGAGCTGAGCAACCACGACCAGTGGGTCAGGGGCCCTGGAGAAACAAGGCTAGAGGTGACTGTGTATTGTGTCTTTGCAGAAATAAGGCAGGGGGTCGGTCTGAATATCTGGAGCAGAAGGCAGCCAGATGGCCCAAGTAGCACCAGAAGAATAGAGTGAGGGTGTGGTCTGTGAGTGTACTCACTGTGTCCCTAAGAAATAAGGCAGCAGGATGTATTGTGTCATTGGAGAAGTAAGGCAGCCGGCAGGGTGACTTAGAGAAATAAAGTGGTAGGGTGGTGTGTGTGCCGTGTCCCTAAGAAATAAGGCAGCACGATGATTTGGGAATCACGTCCGTTGAGAAGTAAGATGGCAGGGTGGTCTATGTGTCATGTCCCTTGGAGAACCTGCACACTTGCCAGAGTGGGACCCAGCTGCTGGGGACAGGGCTCACACTGAGGCCCAAGTGCAGCCAGTGGTCAGGAGCCCCTGGTATGGGGCAGCAGCTCCCTGGTCCTCATGGTCAGGCTATTTCTTGACCATCATCTGCATTTCATGATGGGAAGGAAAAAAGGGAAAACAAAGTATTTATAAAATGCCAGAAGCCCAGGTACCACGTCATATAACTCAGGTGGGGAGTGTATGAGATTGGCCACAGCTGTCCAACGGACGGTCCCCAGGGAGACTACCCTCTCCTCAACCACCTCTCTCTCAACCCACAGGCCCACTTTACACAGTGCCCTCCCACTGTCCCCTCCACTGGGGGCACATTTCCCTTCCTGTCCTCCCCAGCCACCCTCCAAGGCCGGGCCCAAATCCCTCCTCCAGCAGGAAGCCCTTCTCCTTCACTGATTTCCCTGAGCATGATGCCCTGAGCAGGCCACCTCCTTCCTTCCCTCTGGCCTCGTCTCCACGTGGGGGGTGGGGGGAGTCCAGTGGCCGCACATCTCCAGCCTCATTCCACATCCCGACCTGGATGCAGTCAGGAGGAAGGGGTTGGCCCCCCTGCCCCTCCCTGTCTGGTTCTTGTGCTCTGCCTGTCCCTGAGGGAAGCAGCTCCTCCACCTGGACACCACCTCAGCAGTTGTCCGGTGTGGCCAGAGACTGGGAGACAGGCTGCCTCCATGAGGAGCAGGATGAGGAAGCCAACTGCTCTGCCCATCCAGGCCACGTTCTCTGCAACTCTTCAAAGCCAGGCAGACATTCTGATCTCCATCTGCTCAACTCTTCTACGATCATTTGGTTCCAAACAAGAGGGAGGAGAACAACTTATTTCCTACATTTCCTAATGTAACTGCTGTTATCATATGAATACTAATTATGGTTGACATTTACTAACCACCTACTGTGTACTAGGAACACAGCTGTCCAGCTGGAGATGACTTTTCAAGCCTCACCTGAGTTAGGGGTCACGTGACTAGGTTGTGACCAATGGGATGTAAGCAGAAGTGATGTAGTACTATTTCCAATGAAGCCCTAGGGGGAAACATGCCCTCCCCTTCCAAGGAGGAGCCTCTCAGACTTTGGAGTGGAAGCTTCCAGTTGAAGTGGGCAAAATAGAACCTGGCTCCAGGACATCAGTGGCTCTAAGATTACCTATGCTCAGACTACAACAGGAGAGAGAAAATAACTCCTGCCCTGGTTAAACTTCTGCCATATTTAGGTCCTATTAGAACAGCTGGGACCTTGGTGACTCAGCCCTCTGCCCTCTCATGGTGGGGGTGGCGGGGAGCTGAGGCTGTTCTTCTGAGGAGGGAGCCTCAGGTAACCAATGAGGTGACAGTGATACCCACCCACCCTCCCAGCCCCTGACACACAGATGCACCAATACACAGACACCACCTGTCTTTACCTTCTTTGCTTTCAGTGTGTTTCAGAGGCTGCAGGGCTGCAAAAAAAAAAGGAATGTGTGGTTAGGAGGAACCTTGGATTGTGGTGGGGTAGGGTATCAGGCCACAAGGAGCAGGAGGAAGAAATTAGCAGGGTAGGGATGACATCATGGCACCAAGGAAGGGGCCCTGGACTGCTGTCCCAGTGCCAAGTGCCAGCTCCACCCTGTGGCTTGTCACTCCTCTCCTCCAGGTCTCAGTTCTCTGCATTTATAGGATGAGGACAACCCCCAGCCCTCCTGTGAACAGGAGATCTGGAACCTGAGCCCAGGCTATACACAAGGTGAAGTGGGGAACCAAAGGAGGCTGGTGGGCCTACAGGGATCCTCAGGTGGGCCTGGGACTGACCAAATCTCTGTCCACCTTCTTCTCCCCATGCCCTCCCTTCTGCCAACAACATCTGCCTCTGAAAAATGAGGTCTGATCCCAGAGCTGTCTCTAAGCCTGCCACGCTGGGCACCGACAGGCAGAGAATTAATTGGCATAATTTATAACAGTCCCCAGGTGTCAATCTCCTTTCTGTGGGGGTGGGGAGGGAACTGTTGTCAACTGGAACCATCCCGAATGGTTCAGTAGGAACCTGCCTCTTCTAGCCCAGGACCCCCTGCAGTAGAGCCCCCAGTGGCCATGGCAGAATCTTGGCACCTACCCCAACAGGGCTCCAGGTTTACTGGACAATGTCCTTTGTGAAGCACCTCCCAATGCAGTCACTCAGGAGAACTTCCAAACAGACAGGGGCAGGATGACATTTTACAGATGGGAAACTGAAGCCCAGAGGAGCACAAAACAGGACTGTCATAGCTGTTTGCTTGATAGTAATGGCACTCCAGTATTAAGCATTAAGCACTTACCAGGCACCAGGTAAGGCACTAGGTACTTTAGATACATTATCTCCTTTAATTCCACCCAAATAATCTGTGAGCCTGTTAGTATGCCCATTTTACATATGAAGAAACCGAGGCCAGAGATGCAAAGCAACTTGCTCGAGGCCACTCAGGTTACATGAGACGGAGCTGCAACTCAAACCCAAACTGCCCTGTGTTCGGAGTTCCTGCTCCCAACCCTGGGAAGCCACCAGACTCTACAATGCAGGGTCAATCAGGTGGACGTAAAGGAGAGCAAGAGAAATGAAGCGGGGCGGGGGGGGGGGCAATTGGGAGCTTCACTTCCATGCCTGACTCTTCCATGGGTCAGGAGGCCTCACTTCATTCAAATCTGACAGCAAGTCTGGCCCCTCCAGATCCTGAAGTCCTTTCTCCCATCCCTTGTGTTCCTCCCCTGAGCCGTCACTCTCAGACTCACCTGTCTTGGATCCTTCTCCTTCCCCATCCTGGTCCTCAGCTCCTAGAAGACAAGAACTCAGAGTGAACAAATGTCTTCCTCAGCCCCATTTTCACTTGGTAAACAGGATCTGAGAAAGCCTGACCTGTTCTTCAAATGTGGGACCCAGGGCAGAGCTGAGCCTGTGACATGATGAGAGGGCATTCAGCCTGGAGCCCACCACCCACCCTCCCAGACAAGAACCATCTCCCTACCCTCTAGCAGCCCACCCAGCCCTCACCTCACCAGCCCCACCAACCATCACTTCCCCACAGACAGGCCAACCCAGCTGTCCATCCACTCATCCTTCCACCTGTCCTCCCCGGCCAACTGACCATCCTCTCCTCCACTCACCTCTCCCTCTGGTGACCTGCCTACTCTCATGCTTCTGTTGACCCATGTGTCACTTTCCAGGGTCCACTCACCTCCCATGTGGGGAGGTACCCACCTGCCAACATCCTTGGACACACTTACCAGCTGCCAACATCCACTCAGACTGACCCTCAGCCCAGCAAATGGCAGCTGCTTCAGACTGGAGCCATTGAGGCAAACAGACTCCTACCTGTGACCTGTACACTCACCAGCATGTCCACATTGGTGCAGCTCTCAGTCTCCACGTCTAATCTGCTCTCTTACAGACGCTCTCACAGGCACACCTATCTGCACGGACACAGTCCGCCCTACACACCCACCACCTTCCAGTTACACTTGTATCCACACTCATCCTGTTACAATTGCACATGGACAGGTTCACACATGAAAGATACAGTAGACACAAGCACACGCACACATACACACACACTATCTAGCCTCATTTGCACACACACACTCACTCTGTCCCTAGAAAGTCATAAAGTCATACTACTGCTCTCTTTCTCTCTCTTTCTCTCACACACACACCTCGCACTCACCTGCGTTCTCCTCCTCACAGCTCTGTTTGATCTTTCGCCAGCACACAAAGGCCAGGGCCACCAGCAGTGCCACAAGGCAGATGGACAGTCCGACAGTCACCCACAGGGCCTCAGGGGGGAATGTCATGGGTTGCCCTGGGAGGGGAAGTGGGGAGAATGAGACCAGCATGCCTGGCCCCCCATAGCCCAAGGTGAGATATGGCTCCCACCCTCCCTGGACGTTAACACTATAAGCAAAGCTCACTTAAGTGCCCCCTGCCCCACGTGGCCACCAAACCCTGACAGCCATGGGTCATGCTATGTGGTGGACATAGCTTTACCAGGAAGGGCTGAAGAGGCTATGGTTGAATGATGCTCCAGAACCTTCTATGGCTACTCACTGACTTTACAGTAATGCTTCAAACGGACCAGGATGATTCAAGAACCTCTATGCTTTCAATGCTGGTAGCGCTCCCACAAACGTGGTGAACGTTCCTAAAGCCCACCAGACTGTCAGTAAAAAGTGGGGCAAACACCAACCCTCCGAAGTGACACAGTTACAAGGATTCTCCGTATGCTCGGGAAGGCAGCATTATGACAGGAAGCGGAGTGGCTGTGATGGGCACACTTAGCCGATATTCTGGCAATAGGCTAAAGGCATGAAGAAGATGGTGGGTGCTGCGGTGGGACTGTGCGGAGCTCACATGCAGATCTAAGAGGATGCTGGCTACTGAGGGACACAGGCATTTTGAAGACATTAGAGGAGAAAGGGCAGGGGAATCCAGTTCCAAGTGTCATCTTTTCTCTTATTATGATGATGATAAAATCTTAAGGTTATGTTCACTTCAAAAAACAGTAATTCTACTACAGGACCCTCTGCTCCAGCCAAACTGGTGGTCTAACCACTCTCTGCAGAAACAACAAGAGCCGTTGGCTCTTTCCAGCCTCCACACACTGCTGTCTGTTTCCCCTACTTAAAAAGTGCTCCCAAACCCTCCATCCAGCTCCACATCCTCTTCCTCAGGAGACCTCTCCAGCCCCACCTGACAACATCCCCCTCCTATGGGTCAGGAATCCCTAATCAGCAGCCCATGGGCCAAATCTGGCTGGTGGCCTATTTTTGCACAGTCCATGAACTAGTAATACTTTTTACATTTGTAAAGGTTTGCCAGAAAAGGGTAGGGGAGGATGAGGAGGAACAGAAGAAACAGCAGCAACAGAGATGGTGTGTGGCTCTCAAGGCCTAAAGCACCCACTCCCTGGCTCTTTACAGAAAACGTGGGCCTAGCTCTGCCCACAGATTAGGTCACCGAAGGTGCTGGAGCCAGTGTTCTAACTTTCACCAGAGACTCATATAGATCTGGAAGGGCTTGCCAGCAGGACATTTATGTGAAATATTGAGGCTCCTTCTGTTAGAGATCTTGTGACAGGAAGTACGGAGTTGAGGAGCCTAAGCCTGGTCAGGGCCAGCAGTTGTCCTGAGCATAGGTCCTCCAGCCCAGCCTGGAGGACTCATGCTGGGTCCTAGGCAGAGACCTTGGAGGAAAAACATCTAACAGAAGATGGCACTACTTTCCTTTGCCCTCTGGAGACAATGAGTGCAAGGGCAGCAGCAGCTTCTGCAGGAGGCACCATCAGTGCAATGAGCAGCCCGTTAACCCTTCAGTTGCAGGGTTGTGCCTGCACCTGGCATGCATGCACCTTGGGTGAGGGATTTGCAGCAGATGTTACCATCAGTGGGCATGGCTGGCAAAACTGTACTCTGGAAATTGGAGGCAAAGGGACCCATCGCCCCAGTAAACAGGAGCAAGAGTGGTGGGCAAGAAAAGAAGACGGCAGCTGATGTGGTGGCCAGGAGGGTCAGTCCATGGGACACACGTAAGAGGCCCCTGGAAGGCCCAACCTGAGGCTCTAGTAGCAGAGGAGGAAACAGAGCTATAGAAATACTCAAGAGGAGGGGGAAGGTATTCACCCAGGAAAGGACAGAGCCAGGGGTCAGAACCACCCTCCAGGCTCCCTCGGTGAACAGGCACTGCACAGCACACGTGCCTTCACTAACCTCCATCAGGTGTGGCAGAGGCCAGCTGGAGGACTGACAGTCTGAATCCCAGAATGTTTTACACGGCGCAAGGCTGCCCGAAGCAAAATACAGGCCAAGGGCTCCAAAGTAGGCCAGACCTGCTCTAAGAAAACAGGAGGCTGGCTGGTGGGGAGGAGAGAAAATTAGGCTGAGAGGCCAAAGTTGGATTCCAATCCTGGTTCAGCTGTTCACTGCAGGGTACTGGAGCCCAGGCCCACAGATCCCCATAGCTGAGTTTAGAGAGGCCATGAACCCTCCAGAGTTAAATGCAAAGTACTGCATTTATCATTGGTTCCATTTTCTAAGAGGGGCCTGAGCCACAAAAGATTCACTCTCTGGCCTTGGGAAAGTTCCTTCTTCTCTCTGGACCTCAGTTTCCTCATCTGTGAAATGTGCTTGGCAATAATGGCCCCTAAATGTAACCACTTAAATCAGGAGTCCTCAAACTTTTTAAACAGGGGGCCAGTTCACTGCCCCTCAGACCGCTGGAAGGCCGGACTGTGGGCCCTGGGATGAGTCGGCTGCGAAGCAGTACAGGTAGTGGTGGCAAAAATACCCAGTGGGCCAGATAAATGTCCTAGGTGGGCCGTAGTTTGAGGACACCTGATTTAAATGCTAGCTAAAGCTTAAAAATAGAACTTTCTCCCTGCAATCATATTTACACTCATAAGCCCTTTCTGCATAGCATCACAAATATCTAACCCAGCCCAGTGTGCAAATGACCACCGAGTCCCCTTATCCTCTGAGGTCCTCTCTACTCCTACTCACCACTGGAGGCTTCCTGGCCACTACCTTCTCTGGAAGCTTTTCATTCTGTCGATCTCTGTAACACAGCTCCTACTTTCTCCTGTGAACAGTATCTTCACTACCAGACCACATGCTGTATACAGTTATGATTTAATAAAAAATTAAATTAAAAAAATAAAAGGTCGAGGAGATGTCTCAGAACACCCAAAAGCCCAGGGCAGTGACTCAAGAGAGCACAGACTCGGGGTGTCTCCAGGAAGAGAGTGGGTTTAGTCTTGGGGCAGGGGTCTGGGAGTTAGGTGAAGTTGTGGGAAGAGAAAAGAGAACCAGACAGACAGAACCTGCTGTCTTGCCCTCAGTATGTGGGCAGGTACCTGGGAAAGGTCAGTTTGCCCAAAGGAGGGACTGAGGAGCAGACTGAGCAGGCAGCCTAGGGAAGGACTTATTAGACCGTCTGCTTCTCTTGGCCTGAGCCCTCTACACACCGGAGCTTAGGACCTAGAGACAATTTCCAAATGGGTGGCCTCTATCTAGTGTGTGACCACCTGGGGGCAGCAGAGACAGCACCGGCCAACGCAAATGCTGCTCCGGTGGAACTCAAGTCTGCAAAAGGAAGAGCTGCACAGGCTCAGGTGAGGAGGACTGACCACCCGGAGAGGCCCCGGAGTCCCCAGGGCTCCAGCATCTGATGGTGCCCACGGACTCAGCAACACCTTCCCGGTGTAAAGCACACCCTCACCGTGTCCCTGAGCCACGCCTTGTGACCGCCCCAGAATTCCCTCCCACATTTCCAGATTTCAGGCAGGTACTTTGTACTCTGCATAAGCAAGCAGTATTAAGTGTCGCCAAAAGTGTTCTCAGGAAGGCAAATATTATGATTGTTATCACCAAGTCTTTTAAGAACTTCTTGCTGGAAAGAGTTTGAGACAACTGAAATCGATGAAGGCGACTTTTAAAAGGTCTTCTGACCACTGAGACCTATAGAAATTTCAGCTTTGGTTCAGATAAAGGGGTAGCTGCTCCCTCCATCCTTCCCCAGCAGTCCATCTGCCCCTTCACCTGTGATGGTGACGGAGCCATGTGCATCCTGCCGCAGCACGGGGTTGCGCACCAGGCAGCTGTAGGTGCCATTGGCGCCCAGCACCACCCTCAAGACGCTGCGCACGTCGAACAAGCCCTGTTCGTTGGCCATCTG